TCTCTTAGGCATTCTTACAATATAAATTAACCAGCCTCAAATGATGCCAGTGAATAATGATTTGTTGATATCTTATTCAGGGCTACATTCACAAGGTTGAAGCTGATGAGATATTTTTGAGGTTTGATGATCAGTTTCACCACGCTCACCATGACAGGAATAAGTATGATGTTAGCTTCACATATAATAGATTGAACATGAGAAGGCAATATAGGTCTGTTCATGATGCAGAACTTATTGGACCTGACATTCTATTTCCATCCCTATCACGGTATAGAAGTGTGAAGAAGGTGCCATTTAAACCTCTGAACCCGAACATAAACACTGAGCAAGCTGATGCAGTTGGGATGATACTTGGCTGCCGAGGGGTTACACCATATGTGATTTATGGACCTCCAGGAACTGGCAAGACCATGACCCTTGTCGAGGCGATTTTGCAGCTTTATAAATCCAATAGGAGGGCAAATGTTCTCATATGTGCTGCTTCCAATAGTGCTGCTGACCATGTATTGGAAAAACTGTTGAGTTCTAGCTACCCGATCCGCCCAAGTGATATCTTTAGGCTAAATGCTCCTAGTCGTCAGTATGACGATGTTAATCCTGATTTCATACGGTTCTGCTTCTTTGAAGATATGGTGTTCAAGTGCCCTCCAATGCGAGCATTAATGCGCTACAAGATAGTTATATCAACCTACATGAGTTCATCAACCCTACAGGCCGAGGGTATTCGCCCGGGGCATTTCACACACATTTTCTTGGATGAGGCCGGTCAATCTTCTGAACCAGAAGCAATGGTTCCTTTGGCAGCTTTGTGTGGAAGAGACACAGTGGTTGTGTTAGCAGGAGATCCTATGCAATTAGGGCCGGTGGTTTTTTGTAAACAGGCGGATCAGGATGGTTTGGGAAAATCTTATCTGCAAAGGCTGCTCGGTGAATTTGAGCAGTACCATTCAGGGGATCCTAACTACGTGACAAAGCTATTGAGGAACTATCGTTGCCATCCAGCAATCCTAGAGCTACCGTCACAGCTTTTCTACGAGGGTGAACTTATCCCCTGTAAGGGAGATGAAGTGCCATCTGTTTACGATTGTATTGGCCTTCCCAATAAGTCATTCCCTGTTCTGTTTGTTGGAATCCAGGGATGCGATGAGAGAGAAGGCAACAATCCATCATGGTTCAACAGAATCGAAGTTAGTAAAGTAGTAAATATCATCAGGACTCTGACAAGGAATGGCGATGTCAGTGAGGCTGATATTGGTGTCATTACTCCATATCGTCAACAAGTTAACAAGATAAAGAAGGCCCTAGAGACGTTTGAAATGCCCGACCTAAGAGTGGGAAGTGTTGAGCAATTCCAGGGCCAAGAAAGGGAAGTGATCATCATCTCAACAGTCAGGTCAACCGTTAAGCACAACGAGTTTGACAGATTCTTCAACCTGGGGTTCCTGAGCAACTATAGAAGGTTCAATGTCGCAATTACTCGTGCCAAATCGTTGCTAATTATCGTCGGAAACCCTCACATCATCACTAAGGTGTGTTGTTGCTGTATCACTCTAGCTATTCTTTTTTGTACAGGCTCTGCTTTCATGTCATGCTCCTATTCTGTTTCTGGCGAAACTAACAGGTGTTACTACTGCAGGATCGGCACTGGGATAAGCTCCTGAGGTACTGCGCAGACAATGGTTCTTATCAAGGATGTCCGCTCCCCCCACCAGAAGAAGAGGTCAGATACTCGGGATACGGCGACACCCGAGACCAGCCTGCTGGTGATGGTTGGGGGTACAACCAAGAGGAGCCATCAAACCACATCCACAATCAAGACCGGTCTGACAGTGGCTTCAGACACGACAATGGCCGGTCCTCAACCGCACACGAAGAAGAATGGTCCGAAGAATGGTCCAAGGAGAAGCCAGACGGGGACTTACATTCATATCCGGATGCAGGAGCAGAACCTCAGGCAGAGACACAGCAGAAGCAGCAGCACGTCGAGGAAGAGGTTACTACTGGGCAGGACGACGTGCAGGCTGGCCACTGCTCAGCCAACGATGTCGACAACGGTGCGGTCCAAGACGCATATGTGCAGAAGTACACGTTTCCTCCCGGTTGGGGTGACGTCTCGAGCATCCCCGCGACAGGCTGGGAGTGACCGACCGACCAGATTTCTTTTCTTTTCTTCTCCGTCGGGGCCATTGCTGTTGGTAGAGTAAGACGGGGGATCGGCCTTGCGGAGCTAACTTCCGGGGGCATCCTGAACTCACCCTCGTCGGATGCTAATTCTGAACGTCTCTAGTGTTTGTTCGCTGCGTCACGTTGTGTTAGGCTGTCGTGAACTGGATCTTGATTCTTCACTGTGCGTGGATGGGTGGACGTGCTAAAGTACCATCCCTGTTTGTTGAATAGAAATCTGAAATTAAGTCGTCTTCTCATCTGCTGGCTGTTTTATCTTCAGATGATGTGTTGTTATCTATCGGTGGCTGGGATTAATGCGCCAAGATGAGAAAGATCCTTACAGTTCTGGTATTTTTAGACGAGCGAATGTTTTAAAACTTGCTAAACTCATGTTGTTTCACCTGAAGAACAAACTTTTAGTTGCATATTCATTAGATGTTCTTGCTTTTGGATGAGTTGAGACTCGAGCTGAGGTAGAAGCTCACGTGGCCGAAAAAAAAAACCGTATAAACAGAAAGAGTGATCAAATATATGGTGCCGAGGTGGAAGCTCATGCATGCTTGGTGCAGTTGATTTCAAGTATGGTGTTGAGGTGTGACCGTGTGGGTTGCAAGTTACAGCAATCAACGAAAGGAGGACATGGGCATGTGGCTCTCATGTGGGAGAATAATACAGCCAGCGGCAATGAGTAGTCGGTAGAACTTTGGGCTGCCTTCTGGAGTCTGATGGAGTAGGGGCAACAACCACTTGATTGACCCTATGTATTTTCCGGACAAAGTCTTAATGGTATAAGAATATACCTCCTGTCAAAAATGATTTTACTTTTTTTTTAAACGAAAGCAAAAGCTTTGTCTCATTTTATTAATAAAGCAGAAGAGAGTTGCCCGGTTAATAAACGGAAAAGCGGGTGAAAGCCGTCACAAACCGCTGAGCGGTACATTCATAATACCGCACACACACCTCACATAGAGGGTCTTGTCAACATCACACCGGTGTCATCGCCATCACTCCTCCAACAGGCGTCATCACCCTCCCTAATCTCCGAGCAAGCGACTCCAATTTCTTCGAAGGCAAATGTTGACCCAACCCACACCGTAGAGGCTATGTGAAAAATAAGAAGCCCCGCACCAAACTCAGCCACCCACGCCTTACATTTTGGGACGGAGGGTGCAAACTTCAAACCCATAATGCAAGGATAACACAGGATAGCACACAAGGGCAATGCCATCCAATACAAATAAGGTGTTGAGTCACCGGCAATTGGCATGTCTTTCTCTAGTTCCTCATCTTCTTTCCTTCCATCATGTCTCGGGCGCCGAAAATGGCGGTGTTACACTTGAATGTGACGCACAGTTGACCCATCAAAGATGCTACACACCGATGGACGGCATGAAATTCTAAATCCATGTAATTGTAGTTGATGAAGAACGCTGCTGCCGTCTCTGTCATGTCCAGCTCGATCTTCTGCAACAGACCACACGGTCACGGCAGGCGCCGTCGGCTATCTCAAGTTGATGAGTATTTGAACGATGTGGATCGCCCCGTAAAAGAAATGCTCTTGTGCAACAGACAGATAGTTTACCAAGCCCTTCTCCATGAGAAAAATGCGCTAGGTTTTCTTCTTCACCTCATCGCCATACTTCGTTTCTAGCTTCACGGTACAGTTGCCTCTCCTGTGTAGTTCCAGGACAAGAAGCTAGCAGCGGTGTTAAGTGTGCCCAGTCCAGAGGCCATCAAACTGGCAGCTGGTGATCTCAAGTTCTTCCCCACTCATTCATCAACCCAGCTGTTGAAGCAGACACCAACAATAACTGGCACCAACCTTTGCAGCCTGCTAATAACTCATGATCAGTACAGAGCACACAAGCAAGCCCATCTGTGATACCACACACACACACACTTGAGGCCACCTGGTGCAGTGGCACGGATGGTAGGGCCCTGCCTGCCTGCATTAGTGCCACAAGGAAGGAAGCAGGTGAGTTCATGCAGGTTCACTTGAAGCTGCACTCAGAACTTCTCGAGCTAAGCCGGTCTGCCCAAGAACTGATGATTAGTTAGTTAGCAGGATGGCCAATTGGGTGCTAATTCATCATCATGGATTACGGGCGGCGGGCCATGCGGCGGAATCGACCGCGGAACGACCGATCCGACAAGGCCAGTTGTGCCGTACCACGAACAGCGACCGAAATCTAGCAGAAGGGATGAGGAGAAATTCGCCGGGTGGTCCTAGATCCGTGGACAGCGAGCAAGTTGTTGCGTGAGGTGTCTGCTCAAGCTTTATGGGGGCACGCCGGGAACAAGAATCGCAGGGATCGATCCTGTCTGCCTACTCATTTTTGCGGTCAAGAGGTCATTGCACAACTTTTTTTACCAAAAGAAAAGGCATTCAGGGTAAAAATTTATCATAGGAAGTAAAGTGAGCAACCAGAAACTGAACCAAGGTGTTTGTTGGCGAGGAGATGAAAAATGTCAGTGTAGTGTTCATTAGGAGCAATGCATCTCAGTGATCTCACAGAGAGCGCATTATGCTGCATGCTGCTGCACACTGTGAGGCTGCAGGAATTTTTCCATAAGTGAGCTGATTAGCAGTGCTGCTCAGATGCCAAATCAGGACAAATTAGGCCAATGGCACAGTGGCACAGAAAGCTAGACCTCTCTAATTAAGCAGCTCCGAGCCAAGCCCCCGGCCATCCATAAATACACACGGAGCGCGCGTGCGTTCTCACAGTCGCAGTTGCTCCCTGCCTTGCTCCCGCACCACCATTGCAGGCTGAGCTTGAGCTCGGTCGATCGAAGGACCCTTCACTTGCAGTGGAGCTCGCGGTTGAGCGATGGAGCCGGTGGAGTCGGCCAAGTGCGAGTGCTGCGAGCTGCGGGAGGACTGCACGCGGGGGTACATCGTGGGCGTGAAGGCGGACTTCGGCGGGCGGTGGCTGTGCGGGCTCTGCTCCGAGGCGGTGAGGGAGGAGGGCAGGAAGCACGGGATGGAGGCGGCGCTGCAGGACCACATGGCCTTCTGCGCCGGCTGGTGCCGCGGCAAGGGCCCCGCGCTCCGGGTCGCCGACGGCATGCGCCAGATGCTGCTCCGCCGCCGCCGCCCCATCTCCATCTCCAAGTGAGGCCAAGCCAAGCGACCCGTCCATCATTCACGGCGCCGGCGACGAACGGATCGCGCCGGCGGTGACAACAAGGAGAGCACCGGCCGTTGCATCCGGCGAGTGTTGTACGAGCCCCGGTCGAACAAGATCGACGTAATAAGCCAAGGGTTCATATGTATTTGTGCTAGTAGTAATACGGAGTATGTGTGTATGTATGTATGCATGATGTGGTAGTAATAATCTTAGCTAGGCTAGCTAGGTTGAAGCTGCATTGCACCATTGGCAGGTAGCTGATGCTGGTGCTAGCTTTGCTCAAGCCCCGGCCGGCTGTACAAAAGGGAGGGACCCAATAACATGAGAGGATGTGACGATGCCTGCCGTCGATTACGTGGTGTCGACTCGCCATTATTTGCATGTCATTGTCCATCATCAGGTACCTCTCCATCTTCCATCATTAGGTATCCGTCGTCGACTAGTGGATTTGCCATTGCGTACGTCTCACGCTACGCTAATGACCCAGTTGTGTCTGATTAACAATACCATGAGGACTCGTAATTGAAAAACAAGGCATTATGATTTGGCTAAACAAATATCTCAAGCATTTGCTTCGCGAGGAAGATGAAGTTTGTTTGGCTAAAAAAAGATGGAGGATTGGGAGTGTTGGATGTCGGGACTCGCACCAAGGCATTGTTGTTGAAAAACACACTTGCACAAGTTCTTCAATCATTATGTTTACCATGGGTTAATCTTGTGTGGGACACTTATGATGAGCCTAGACCACCTCATGGCAGGATGGTTGGGTCTTTCTGGTGGAAGAGCGTCCTCAAATTACTCCCCAATTCAAGGCTGTTGCTCGTTGTAAGATTGGGCAAGATCTTGCATCGAGCTATTCCCTGACCTGTAGTCGTTTGCAGTCAGTGATACAACTTCCATCAAACAGGTTGTTCTCTCTGCAAATCTGGAGGTTCACCAGGTTCTACCACGGTTCGGCCCAATCATCATAGTCAAAGAATTCTTTCATAGACCACTTTCATTGCAAGCATTCAATCAGTTTGAGCAGCTACAAAGTTTGATCCAGCAAATTCAGATAACTAAGACAAGGATAGATGGACCTGCTCCTGGAATTCCCCAACCCACCCTCTCTTCAGGAAGAGGAGTCTTCCTCATATCTTTGTGCCCTTTGCAACTTCAATGCCTTTTCTGGGACTCATATCCTTTTGCTAGGTGTTGGGATTCAATCATGAATAACAGGAGGAGGAGCACCTCAAACATCAATCCAAGCAGTCTCTGCTGGAAAGCTCTTCTCAAACAGGATCTCAAGATCATGAGCTACAGGAACAAGGACAGCAAGTTTCAAGTACTTCAAGGCTGGATTGATAGTGATATTACATTTATCATGTTTCCTAAACAAGAAATATGTTGACACACACACACAAGTCTCTGTTTTTCTTCAAAAAGATAATAATTAACAATGCCATCTCTAAGCACCTGATAATACAGATATGCTTCGCTATCCAAACCAGCTGACTAATAGAATGTTAATGCCTTATAAGTCTCAGTCACAGAGTCCCTGTTATTCATCACCACAAAGAAACATTTCAAAGATCTGAATTCAGTCCTGTGCAACATGAGTTGCCACAGCTCCATTTACTCATTTGCTACCATAAGCATATTACCTCCAGTTGACCGGCAAGAACCATAGTCGCACAAGCATCACACCAGGCGAGTACATTAATAACAGGTCAAATCACACACAGAACTTAACTCAGGTCAAAGCTGAGACACAACAAAGTTAACAACCAACTAGATTATAAAACATACTGATCTTCATGAATGGTCCACAACACGACATTGGCCAGAGAATTTAACACCAACTTAAAAGGTCTTGCATTTATGCGCTCAAACAAGCGAAGCTAACAAAGAAAGCAGCAACATCTGCTTAGAAGGTGGAACACCACTAGGTCCAAGGTTTAAACAGTACCAGAAGCAGCTAGCCAAGCAGGCATTACATGAAAGGAAACAGTCTAGCATAAGCTGCGCTGCTCTTTAACTAAAAAGGAAACAAGCAACTAGATTTATTGCAAACTCGGCTGAGCACCCCAGGTATGTGCGCCATGAAGTGCACTGGATAAGCCAACCTGCAGCACCACAGCACAGGAATCACTTTAGTATTAGCCACAGAAGTCAACAGATGTAATAAGATTAAACAAGCAGCACACGTATAATTACCGTATTATGGTTTGTCCGCTTGCAGGTCTCTGAAATGGAATCTCGCATCCTTTATCAAACATGCCAACGGAACTCGAATCCTCCACATGTTCCATGAACATGAACAAGGAACAGAAACTACACAGGGTGCCACTGGATGGAACTTTAGATTATATGCATGGAACGAAGATTGGATGGCAGGGGAGGGGATCTGACATGCTACATATGCAACAAACTAAGGTGGGAGGGGAGGTGCGGAGATAAAAGTTAGTTGACAGATGAGGGAGAAAGGGCATCGAAGGGGGGCTTCTTGAACCTCCACTGGCCTCTTCATTCCAAAAAATACAGAAGAGCCAGTGAGGAGAGATCCTTGTGTTCTTTGCAGAGCACCAGGGAAGTCGGTGTGATTAGAGGAGTGTCAAGATGGCGAGGAAGAATGTATGTATCAGAAGAATATAATATGCAGATATCCTACAGAATATAAGATGGGAACAGATGCTGGAGTGTAAACTCTAGCTATCTAACAGTAGAACAGAACTTATTACCCTACCCCTGCCTGATGCAGTTTCCTACTAGCTAGGATCATGCAGACTACCAACCACTAATGGATCACTGACCATGGATGGAAATGAAGATCTAACACCTAAAGAAAGTTGGAACCCTATAGGTGACCACAAGCTACAAGGTGACTCTAAAACTGCTGTGCTCTCATCCACCCCAACAGTCTCCACCACAACCACATCCTTCACGGCAGCTTCCCGCGGGTCATGATGTGCTTACTAACACACCTAACAGTACTCCTGTTGATGCAGAATCTAGGTGGAAGGCTGCTATACTAAGTTACTTTATACAAAGTACCCAAGGTTAGTTGCTGATGACCTATGTACACTGTGATGCCCCCATCATTCAGTCCTCGGTGATTTCCAAATTAAGGATCCTCCTCAGATTCTCCGTGGCAATGGCAGTATCATTGTCACCAAAGAAGCCAAATCCTGAGCCAGCAGTGGGTGTCGAAGGTGCAGACTTGGCATGCACAAGCACCTCCACATGCTCTGGCCTATCAGCAGGTGGCAACTCAAGTGATACACTGCGCTTCTGGTGGAGCGAGAACTTGGGAATCGGCAGCGAGCTGGGTGGCGGCGAGTTGGAGTATGCCGGGCCAGCCCAAAGCTCAGGACGGGAAGGAGGAGATCCTGATGGAGTTATAGGGATCGCCCGGCTGCGCTTTTTGTCATTGTGCAGCTGCTGCTTGGGCGTCTTGGGCTCCGGGGAGTAGGTCCGAGCCCGGGGTGCAGGCGGGGGAGGTGGTGGGGGCGGGGACGGCAGGATGCCTATGCTGATACTGGAGTGGAAGGCACGGCAGTTGAAGGCGTGGTAGCCACGCATGGGCTGAGGCGACGAGGTGTGCGGGGATGGCTTCCTCCGGCGACCTGAGTGGTGGTGGTGGTGGTGGCTGCGCTGCTGCGAGATGACCAGAGTCTCCATGGCGCCCGGTCGTAAGTGGCAGATCCAACCAAGCCCTGGTGCCAGGCAAATGAAACGCGCATCAGTACATCTGAACATGGCATTTTGATCACAACACTAGCGGCACTGAAAACTTAACAAAAACATCGACTTTGATGGAAATAATCATACGTAAAAGTAAACTTTCACTGTACAAATCCGCAAACCACAACATACATGGGAGATATTAGCAGAATCGTGGATCTACAGGGGACAGATGGATCGATACCTTCCGGATCTACACCCGACGAACAGATCGAAACCCACAGGAGCGCGAAGGGGTTCGCCCCTCCCTCTCAGATCGACTCCGCGCTTCTCTCCTCCGTCCCTAACCGCTTCTGACGCGAGCGCACGCACGCTCCTGCATCCACGAACCCCACAGCCATCGATCAAACAAAACCGCACGGCAAAAACAGTCGCGAACAACTCACGAGCACGAAGCGGCTTTCCGCGACTCACCGATCAGACGAGCCACCGGCCGGCGGCGAGGGAAGCGTATGCGGGGAATCGGCGGATGGAACCTCGCGAGGCGGCCGGGCGGACGGATCTGGCGAGCCGCTGCGGC